TTCATATTTTTGTTACTGAGTTTGTCCTGCCCAGTCTTGCAGCTTTGACAAGATCCCTGCGTAAGTCTGGTGGTGATCCCGTGAAACAGGAGGTCGTTGGAAGCATAGGCAAGCCGTAAATCATTCACCTCTCTGGGCTTCTCCCTGTTTCCTCGTACAAACCAATTCATCACCACCCAAAATTCAGTGGTTACCGGTTTTTGTTTGTTTTACAGAAAGTCGGCTTTTTGACTCCACTACATTGTTTGCAAAAAGTGTTTGCTTTCTACAAAAAAAATGTTTTTTTTTCACTGAAAAACCGAATGCCTTAAAAACTGAACAATATCCATTCAGAAAGCCTGTTGCAGTGCTGTACGGAAACCGTTATTCATTTTCCTCTATGGTCTTGGCTATCTGGCCAGACTACATCTCCCATGATGCATTACAGCCAGGTATTCCCATGATGCAATTGTTTCATGCACGGTGAAGGGACACCATGATGCAACATGGGAGATGTAGTCCAACCAGAGAACCTGGATTACAGGGGACATGGGAGCATGAGGCCCCTGGACTACAGCTCCCATGAGGCACCAAAGATGCATTTCCCTATTGAAGATTTCAAGGCTTTGATTCTTCGTCACAAAACTGAACTTTACTGTGAGAAAGTTTTTGACAAAAATTTTCTTTTCAAACAATTTGCTGTGAAAAAAAAGCTCATTTTCCAACCCATTCTTCCACCAAAGTTCTTCACAGCTCCTAATTCCGAACATGACCCAGGCTAATCTAGTGCAATTAACCCAGTCCCCTGCTAATGGCTGTAGGTTTATGAGTCTGGACAGACCTGGGCCCAACAGTGCCCAGTCCTGCGGTTAGATCCAGAGGTTCAATCCCAGAGCCAACCTTGCTGTGGGGCAGCATGATACACACACACACACACTGAATGTTCATGCTGGCTTAGACTGAATTCAAACCAAAATAGAAAAGAGCTTCCAACTGATCAGTGGACTGGCACAGGCGGGGCCGGTAGCAGCCTCTGGTGGATCTGAGCTGGAATAAGCTGCTGGAACAAGCTGGAATGAACAACTGCTGGAGAATCCCTTCCCCGCACTGCCTGGGAGTTGGCTGCTTTGCGTCTGCTGCCCCAGCTCCTGCCCCAGAGCGATCCCTCCCGCGTGGCGCCCATGCTCAACGGAGTTCACCACCTACCGCCAGCTTCTTCAGCAGCCTGTTGGTGCTTGTCAGGTCGGTGCCCCGCTCGTCCGACTGCAGCTGCGCCTCCACCTCCCCGATCCACGCGTTCAGCTTGGAGAAGCTCTGCGCGTACAGCTCCGAGCGGTTGGCGTCGAAGAGGTGCTGGGCCTTCTCCTCGGTCGTCGATCGGAGCTTGTTCCAGAGCCGGTGCAGCTCCGTCAGCCGCTGCGAGACCACCGCACTGAACTGCGGCTTCTCCCGGGCCAGCTGCCGCCCCTCCTGGAGACAGGCGGAGGGAAAAGAGAATCGTAGCAACGTGGGGCCGCAAAGGGCCTCTGGCGAGCATCTAGTCCAGCCCTGCACTGAGGCAGGTCCAAGCAACCCCAGACCAGCCCTGACAGGCATCTGTCGAACTGTTCTTATGAACCTCCAGTGAGGGAGAGTCCACACCCGCCCCGGAGAGCCTGGTCCTGCGCTGAGCTACCCTGACGGTGAGGGAATGTTTCCTAACATCCAACCGCAGTCTCCCCGGCTGGAAGCAAAAGCTGGTTCCTTCTTGTCCTGCCATCAGACAACACGGAGAACCACCCATCGCCATCCTGCTTAGTCCTGTGGCACCTTCTAGACTGACATTGATTGGAGCATAAGCTGTCAGTCTATGAAGTGCCACAGGACTTCTTGTTGCTTATGCAGATTCAGACTAACACGGCTGCCCCTCTGATACGTGTCATCCTGCTTAGAACCTCCCAGTACGTGTCTGAGGACTGTTATTCCCCCACCCCCAGCCTTCTCTTCTCTAGACTAAACCTGCCCAGTCCTTAAAGCCGGGGCTGGGGAACCGTTTTTGGGTTGGGGGCCACTGACCCACAGAAAAATCAGTCGGGGGCTGCACACAAGCGAGAAACGGGAAAAAAAACAACCTCATTGTGACCCCTGACTGAGGAGAGAGACACTCCCCATGCTTCCCTCGCACACCAGAGCCCGGGGGGTCCAGCCTAGGAGATTCTGTGTGCTCCAGTCCCCAGGAGGGCAGCAGTGGGGCTGGAGCACCAGCCCAGGCTCCCCAATACTAGAGGGTCCCTGAACCTCAGGGCCCAGATCCAGTCAAGCTCCCGGGCCTGAGGTCCCCCCCCCACCCCGCGCCGCCTTAAAGCCTTCCCTCACCCAGCCCAGGTTCGCTAAACTCTTGGTGATTTTTGTCACTCTCCTCTTGACCGTCTCCACTTTGTCCCCATCTTGCCTAAAGCCCAGTTCCCCCGCTCCCCAATACTAGAGGGTCCCTGAACCTCAGGGCCCAGATCCAGTCAAGCTCCCGGGCCTGAGGTCCCCCCCCCACCCCGCGCCGCCTTAAAGCCTTCCCTCACCCAGCCCAGGTTCGCTAAACTCTTGGTGATTTTTGTCACTCTCCTCTTGACCGTCTCCACTTTGTCCCCATCTTGCCTAAAGCCCAGTTCCCCCGACGGAACCCGGTGTCCAGCTGAGACCTCACCAGCGTCCGCCGAGCAGGACACTCACTCCCACGCTGCATGGGACTCCTGGTCGGGGGGAGGGGGCTGCAGATTGGACAAAGGCAGCCGGGGGGAGGGCAGTAATGGTACCTATGCAAGGACCCAGCGGAGGGCAGTATCGGACCTGCTCCCGCTCTCCTGCCCCACTGCGACCTCAGTCCTGCTGCCCGCGACAGCCTCACTCAGTCCTGAGGCAGCTCCTTAGCACGTGCTTAAAGCGAAGCATCTTGAAGCCCCACTGTGGTTGCTGGAAGCCGGGCTCTGCTCAGCCCGGGAGCTGCCTTTGGGGTGCCCTGAGCGTCGGGGGCCAGGCACTGGAGGGTTCCCCTTTACCCCCGCGGGAGAGCACCAACCTCGTCCACCTTCTCCAGCCAGCCTTGCTGAGAGGCCAGCTCAGCCATGAAGGCCTGGTGCTTCTGCCACTTGCTGTGCAGGTTCCGGGCTTCATCGTAGGACGTGTCCTGAGCTGTCAGCATCTTCTCGTCGATCCAGAGGGTGAGCTGAAAAGGCAGGGAAGGGAGCACAGGTCACAGCGCCCGCCCCAGCACTGGACCTTGCCATGGGGCCTCTGGATTCAGGTGCCCCACCTCTGGGCTCCTGCGGAAACCCTGAAATCTCCGTCTGCCTCCTCCTCCGCGCCAGCAGAGCAATGAGTGATGCCGGCCTGAGTCCTGCAGGCCCTCGGATGCCCTGCCTGAGGAATGGGGACCCGGAGGCACTCAAAGCCACATGGCTTCCCAGGGACACTGCCTGGCTGCTCATACCCCCCCGCAGGGGCTGGAAGTGTAGCCCTTAGACCACAGGACAGAAAGTTTACAACACGACCACGGCCTGTCCCAGCCCGTCGTCGGCTCCCTCCTCAAACCCCTTCTTTGCAGCCCACTGCCAGGGAGCTACAACATCCCCCGGCCATGGCCGTCCTGACGCCAGAGAAGCTAGCCCCGAGCGAGACACGCTCCCATGCTTAATCCCAGCTCTCCGGGCCCCAAACAAACCAGACTCTCGCCTCGAGCCACCGTGCTCTGGAGTCTGATGAAAAGCCAGTCAATAAAAGTGCAGACTAAGGAACCTAATGCTGCTTGACGCTTGCCTCGAATCAGCAACCGAGGGCGGCAGACATCTGAAACTGATGGAAGCTTAAACCCTTAACAGTTTCCAAGTTTTTTGGCAATAAACTGCCAATAAAGGATGAAAATATGTAAGTCACTGCTGCCCTTGCAACCAGAGTACAGCACGAAGTGAAGCAACTGGTGAAGGGCGAGCTTATTTCTTTGGTAGTTGCTCATCTTGCCGGGTCTGCGCTCGGAGTTCAAAGGCAGCAGACTGCAGGTGGCAAACAATTCCCCACCAGCCCATCCCTGCACACTCACTGGGAAGCCGACCACGCTTCTGCACACCCACAGGCGACCACTCCCAAAGTCAGCAGTGGTTCCGAGATGTCTCCGAAGGAGCTCTGGAGCCCTATCGCTGACAATGCAGATGAAATAGCCAAATCCAGGGGGCTGGATCAATACGTATAGTGGGGCTGCTGAGCACCGCTTCACCAAACTGTAAACCTGTATGTGATGGACACCCCTTCGAGCCAGATCCTGCAGCAGCACCCCAGTACTCCTCGTACCTGCCCCTGTCGCCGAATCTGTCAGGTGTATGACAGACGATCAGGAAGAAAAGGAAAAAAAGATGAAACTGGTGATGAGTAGAGCCCCACAAATTGGCCTCATCAGAGGGCATCTGCATCTGCAGCTCATTTTTGCGGATACAAATTATGTATCTAGAACGCTGCACATTTGCAGATCTCCACTTTATAGACAGGGCTCATTTTTGCAGATGTGGATGCAAATTTCGTATCCGCACGGGGCTCTAATAATGCAAGTGAAAAACGGGGAAAATAATGAGGACGTGAGTGGGAAAGAGACACCAGGCGCTGTTATACCACAAGACCAGCTTCAGATGACTGAAGAGACAGGATTCAACAGGGCGGGTGCCGATGGTGTTACTCCACAAGGAGTTCATTATTCTGCCCAGACCTTGCAAGCTGCTGGTGAGGAAGCTAGAGAAGAATGGCTCTGGGAACCTGTGATGGGAGGGACTAGGCCCTGAAGCCTTGCCACTGCCCTTCCCAGAAAAGGTCCTCCAGGGAGGCTAGAGTGGCTACTGGGGAAGCGGCCAGGAAGGCTCTATAAAAGGAGATGCAAATCAGAGCAGCAGTTAAGTGCAGTGTGGAGCTCCAGGGATAGACTGGCTGACAAGCTGGCTGAGAGAAGAGCAGAACCATGGACAGCTCCCCGTGGATTGCTTACTGCAGACTGGCAGCCTATGCTGAGACTCTGAGGCCAGGTCTACACTAAAGGGGAAGGTCAAATCAAGATACGCAACTCCAGCTCTGTTAATTACATGTCTTGATTCGAGTTTCCCTGCTATCTCCACACCAAGAGGCCAAAAGGAGCAAACGCTCCCGTCAGCTTCCTCTACTCCTCGCAGGAGCGGGAGTACTGGCCGCTGATGGGAGCACCCTCTGAGTTTGATTTAGCGGGTCTTTACTAGACCCGCTAAATGGAGCTCCGGAAGATCAATTGTGGCATTGTCCGGAGTGAAGACATGGCCTGAGATAAAGCCCTGAGGTGACGGCAAAGACACTGCCTCCAGGAAGGGAAGCCCTAGAGGCACCACTCTCACAGAGTGGGGAACAGACTCAGACACGCTCCAAACAGCCTCCCTTCTGATGGGCACATCGACTGGTTTTGTTGATTCGCAAACAGGGTGCATGTGACTCGGCCACAGGACTTAGTTGCTGAAGGGGGTTTGAACAGGAGAGAGTGCAGGCTCAGGCACTCAGCCAAAGGGAGGCACTCATGAGAAGAGAATGCCACCCCATTGCAGAACTATTCAGTTGGCAAAAGCACATTTAGTTGGCAAAAGACAGGACCCCGACCATTACGGCGACGAAGAAGTGTAATTTAAAGAAGACAATCCTAGACTGTCCAACTAGCAGGCACTCTGTGTGTGAAAAGCTCGAAAGACTCAGAGTTCAAGGGTTATGGTAGCGGTAGGGTGGCCACTTCTTCAAACTGTTAGTATGAGGGATGAGAAATGGAAATCCCTTAAAAATATTTCTGCCTCACCAATGCCTGCTAAATTACCACAAAGGCACAACTTACTTGGGGGGAGGGGTTTCTACAGAGCAGGGCTAAAATGCCAAGTCAGCACAAAGGTGTCATCTTCTCCATTCACCGAAACACTATTGGCCTCCAGGAGGAACTGTGAGAAAATGGTGTTGGCCAATGGTGCATTTCAACGCTGCGTTTACCTGGGCCCCTGGTACAAGCTGCTTCTCTCCAGAGAGGATACGGAAAAAGCTAACATTCCGCTTACTAAACGTGAGCCCATTGGGAGGTACGAGGGTGCCCAAAATGAGGACGGGCCTGATTTTCAGCCAGCCAGGTGGGGACCCAGACTTCAGCTCCTCCTCAACACCTATGAAAGGTCCAAGAATCAAGAGACACATTTTGGATGAGGCAAGGGCAAAAAGCATGTTAGTCTCTTCCTGGAGTCTTTGACGGATAAGCCTCTTTGCAAAACACGTGGGAATAGAACTCGGTACTGGGAACAAAACATTTAAAAAGAGGCCTGGACTGTATCAGTTGGTTACCATGGCGACTGCTGTTCCTGCTACACAAGTCAGCACTGAAAGGGTATTTTCGGGGCTGACATTCATTTTGGCATCCACCAGTTAGGTCTCACCATTCCCCACTCCCATCTGTCTGGACACAGCCCAGCTGTTCTCATTTGCCTCACACTTACATTGCAGACCCCTTGGGAGAAGAGCTTTGGGCGGTGGGTTTGTACAGTGTCTACCACAACTGGGACCTGCTCCGTGACAAGGGCTATGAACACAAATCAAAATAAATAATGTGGCAACACCCTATTGCAGATGACCATGGGGGGGGGGTGGGAAGGGCGGTAGCCCAGCAAGGTTTAGATCACTGTTTGCCTCAGGCTGAGGTGTAAGCCCATTTTGGGACAAAGGAGAACTAGCAGAGGGAATGTGACCAGAGTTCTCTCGTCTCAGCTGTCTTTCAAAGTCGGTCTCTAGCTGTTGTGGTTGTGAAGAAAACCTTGAAAATGTGGCCCATGCAACGATATCTGTCTGTGTTTGCAGAAAGCCTGAGACAGGGCCATGGAAACAAGCTGTGACCTTGTTTCGGACGAATTTCAAAGTCCCAAGGCCCCCGTGAAAACTGTTTTGGAGGAAAAGTTCCCCCCACATTCTTACATAGACCTGCCTGCCTTGTGCCTAATAAGAATGAAAGGGGCAAAAAGCTGCTAGGGCCTGGACACAATGGAGCAGGCAGCAGATTCCAGTGGTTCCAACGCAATCCACATGACCCCTGCTGCCATGAGTCCATCACTGCCCATTTGTGTTGCAAACAGACACACACACACACACACACACACACTCCCGTTTGGCAGCGGAAGCCCTGTTCTGAACAGAGCCGGGCGGAGGATGGAAATTCTGTTCCACGAAGGCGACGTTGGCGTCTGGCTTTGTTCTGAACAAAAAAAACCTCGATTTCAAAATTCTCAGCCACACAAAATAAACGAAAAATCTGGTGGGGAAAAAACCCTCCCCCTTTCCAGCCAATTCAAACATCTTGTCCGGCTTCTGCCTTCCTTTCCCATGAGAACCAAGGAGAGGGAACGGACGCCGGGTCTGAATGAACTGTCTTCTGATGAGCTGAAGGAAGAAAGCTCGGGAGTAAACTCTCTCTGCAAAGACAGGCCTCCTTTGCCAAGGGGAGCCACACGCAGACCTTCTACACATGTGGGTGTTTTAGGTTAACATTCACTTAAGTCTTGGATGCAGGGAAATGACATGTGGTTGCTGACAGCATGTCAGGGAGGGGTCCCCAACCCTGCACCCCCATCCGCAGCCAGATGCGACTCTCAGCCACCCAGGAGAGTAGAAGGTTTTATTGCTTCTCAGAGACACAGCGCAGCATAGAGTGATGTTAGCTCAGACACCAAGGCTGTGTCTAGACTGGCAAGTTATTCCAGAAAATCAGCCATTTTTCCGGAAAAACTTGCCAGCTGTCTACACTGGCCGCTTAAATTTCCAGAAAAGCACTGACGATCTAATGTAAAATCATCAGTGCTTTTCCGGAAAAACTATGCTGTTCCTGTTCGGGCAAAAGTCTTTTTCCGGAAAACTGTTCCAGAAAAGGACCAGTGTAGACAGCACAGTAGTGTTTTCCGCAAAAAAGCCCCGATCGTGAAAATGACGATCGGGGCTTTTTTGCGGAAAAGCGCGTCTAGATTGGCCACGGACGCTTTTCCGGAAAAAGTGCTTATCCTGCCAATCTAGATGCGCTTTTCCGAAAATGCTTTTAACGGAAAACTTTTCCGTTAAAAGCATTTCTGGAAAATCATGCCAGTGTAGATGTAGCCCAAGAGTAGACACTTTATTCCTCTTGGGGGAAGGGGCTCACGGGCACTGAACCCCCCTTTCCTGCTCTCCTCATCCTTCTCAGCCAAGACTAACTCACCCTCCCAGCCACTGGTCAATAGGCCCCCAGGCAGCCCCACCTATATCCCTCTGTCCTGCTCCCAGATCCAAGGTGTATCTGTTGTCACCTGGTCCTCAGGAGGTGAGAAAGTGGGTCTGGCCCACAAAAGCTCATCACCTATTAAACCATCTTGTTAGTCTTTAAAGTGCTACATAGTTTTTCCTTTTGTTTTAGCAAGATCAGACTAACACGGCTACCTCTCTATTATGTACTATACTTCCACAGTGAGTCATGCCTGGCCTCTCCCTCCTCATGCAGAGAGAGCTGCAGGGGGGAAGGGAACTGAGGCACACACCCACCCACCCACCCACCCACACCCCCACACCCAATACAGCAGTGAATGTTACAGCACCCTCCCTACGTCCCACCTTATAGCATTGCTAAAAGGCAGCAGATCCGTACCCAACATGCTCTAATTAAGGCAGCCACCCTCCCTGCCCGGGCAGGGAGCAGTGAGCCAAACCCATGTGGAAGACAGAGGACAGGGACAGGTGTTGCTGCCTGGTGCGGGGGGCTCTGCAAAACCCAATACAGCAGTGAATGTTACAGCACCCTCCCTACGTCCCACCTTATAGCATTGCTAAAAGGCAGCAGATCCGTACCCAACATGCTCTAATTAAGGCAGCCACCCTCCCTGCCCGGGCAGGGAGCAGTGAGCCAAACCCATGTGGAAGACAGAGGACAGGGACAGGTGTTGCTGCCTGGTGCGGGGGGCTCTGCAAAAGGCCTAGATGTCATTTGGTTTCCCCCTCCAGTAATTAAGACTCAACATTCTCTCTGCTCAGTCATCACCTAAGTGGCCTGCCCCCGCCAGTCCCAGCACACCCCCGACCTGCCGCGGCCGGGGCACCCTCCCGGCTCCAACCCAGCCCGGCCTGGATCAGACCTAGGCTGCGGTGAAAGTAACTTACACTTTCTTACAGGTGCTGGTCTATCCCAACCGGGATCACTCCCAGCTCTTTAAATAGCCCCCTGCTGGCTTTTGCCGCAGCTCAGCCAGCTCTTGCCGGAGACGCGCCCCAGGGCATCCCCGCGTACTGTCACCTGTGCACCTCGGACGCGGCACAGCAGAGGTGGCAGCATCACTTGCTGAACCAGGGGCTGTGATGACCTTCCCCCTCCCCCCGCCCCCGCGATACACCCCTGGGCTCTGAGACTCCATATCTGTCCCAGCTGAGACAGGTGGGTTGATGCCCACAACCGCTTATGCCCAAATACATTCGTGAATCTTTCAGGTGCCACAAGCTACAGACTAATGCAGTTCCCCTTGGAGACTTGGCTGCAGGCAGCATGGCTCCAGGGCTCTAGCCATGGGGTGGGGGACCTTTTTAGGGTTGGGGGCCACTGAAGCCACAGAAAAATCAGTCAGGGGCTGCACACAAGTGAGAAACCAAAAAAAATCCACCTCTCCCCAGCATGGGCTCTCCCCAGTGCTGGAGGGAGCCTTGAGCTACACTATTGCCTGAATCACAGGCAGGGGCAGCCCATGAGTAGACTCGGTAGTCGCCTAGGGCGCCACCTTCAACGGGGCACCCGGGACACCCGATGATGATGTCACAGAGTGCCCGATGATGACATCACGGCCATTGACAGTCATGCAGGCGGGGGCACGGATCACGTGTTCCGCCTGGGGTGCCAGCTGCCGCAGCTGGCCTCAGGCCGCTCCTGACAACCGCCAACACGCCATACAACGAGAAACGGGAATGTTTCATTGTGACAACGGCCCGGTGGGACTCCGTGCCAATCCCCGCCAATTTCTTCCCTAGCACAGAATTTCGACAAAAGCAACGTGATGTTCTGAAGCCTTTTCCCGTGGCTCCCACGAGTGTTTCCCACAAGCTTTGGTTCTGAGGGTCCCGCCAGGGGACTCAGGGCGTGTCGTGGGCCGGGGGAACCTCTCTCCCGGCCAGCTGTATACCTCTTGGCACTTCTGCAAGAAGCTCTGCAGGGCGTGATTGTCCTTCAGGAGAACCAGCGCGTCCTTCGACTTTGCCACATTCGCCCTGGCCCTGGAAAGCAGAGAGGACACTGAGCTGCCACAGGAGCGTGTCTCCGCGGGGGAGAGAGTTCTCCGCCAGCGGGGGCACGGGATCGCCTTGCTCGGCGGGCGTTCCCAAGGGCCCCTCGCACGTGGGGTGCGGGTGAATTTACCTCTCCTGTAAGAGCTGGGCCTTCTCATTAATTTTCTCGGCGTAAATATTCCTGTCGGCCGCCAGCTTCTCCCCGCTTTCCACCGGCCCCGTTACTTTCTCCTTGTTGGCCTCCATGGTGGCCAGGAAACCCTCGTACTTCCGCACGGCGACTTCCGACGCTACCAAGGAGTCGGGGGGCTCCACGTGAGCCAGGGTGTACTCCTGGAACGGGCGGGGGGGTGTGACTGAGCAGGGCCTGGCGCACCTGTCCTGCCCCCCTCCCCACATTGATCCTGCCGGGCCCGGGACCAGTGCTCCAGCCACGCCAGAGTGTCCTGCTCCCCAGGACAAGTCAGAGCAGGCTGCCTGGCCGGTCCACGGGGGCGGGGACAGCTCCTGTTGACACCCTGCGCCAGGCCCCATAGTCCCCAGGGCCCCATTGCTCAGAGAGGGAGCAAGGGGGTGGAGCAGGGGCCAGGCCTGGGAAGAGATGGACCAGAGGCAGGGCAGCAGGAGAGTTGCCCTGGGCCTTACGTGGGCTCCTAGGCAAGGGGGGGGGCAGCTCCGTGCCCCCAGAAGGGGCGGGGCCTCAAGCAGGAGGGGCCTCCGCATTACATGGAGCCCTTAGTTCCCCCCTCCCAGCCCTTAGCACTGCCTGGAGCATGTGGCGCAGGGCTCCGGCGGAGATTTAAAGGGCCCCAGCCCCACGGCCACTCCTATAGCAACAGCAGTGGCCAGCAGCCCCCGCC